CTAAAAATAAATTGCTAAACAACCTTTTTATTCCTTAATTCTTCTACCAGAGGAAGAAATTTTGCTAAAAACTAAATAAATTATAAANGCAAGGTATGATCACAGGTAAACCTATTTGATAAATAACTACGTATAGCTTAAATTAGAAGAAAATTACATCTAAAGAGATAAAGGAATACATTAATATACTAACATAAAAGAAAACTTCTATATGAAATTAAGACATTTTATGTCTCTGCTAAGAAAATCCCGTTGAACATCACAATCCATAATAGAGGAACCTAAAAATAAATTGCTAAACAACCTTTTTATTCCTTAATTCTTCTACCAGAGGAAGAAATTTTGCTAAAAACTAAATAAATTATAAATATTAAACCAAATAGATAAAAATTAAAAATTTAGTATGTAATAATTAAATGCTTAAAATATACTATAAAATAGAATGTCTAAATTTGCACATGTGCCTGTTTTAATTATAAAAATGACTATGTTGGTAAGAGCACATGTTAATGCCATTAAGAACAATGATGAACCGAGAACCTGACATCTTTAAACTTCTTTAATTATACTTACTATAAACTTATTAATAATAAACTATAGAAAGTGTAAGATTTTTTAAGGATGTATTTTAAAATTCACACTTGTTTTATATCGATTGCAGAATGGATGCATTTAAGTTTAAAAAAATTAAAATATAGTGTCAAATATAAAGATGTTGTATCATATAATATGCATGGTTACTTAATTAATATAAAATGGTTCTTTTCCTTTATTTTATGCTAAATAACATTTTTGAAATAGCGATTGTATTGATAACTCATGTAAGTTTAAGTTATATGCTACACAATATAAAGTTCACCCAACAAGATTTGTATATANTAAGATTTTTTAAGGATGTATTTTAAAATTCACACTTGTTTTATATCGATTGCAGAATGGATGCATTTAAGTTTAAAAAAATTAAAATATAGTGTCAAATATAAAGATGTTGTATCATATAATATGCATGGTTACTTAATTAATATAAAATGGTTCTTTTCCTTTATTTTATGCTAAATAACATTTTTGAAATAGCGATTGTATTGATAACTCATGTAAGTTTAAGTTATATGCTACACAATATAAAGTTCACCCAACAAGATTTGTATATACCACCATATTTTATGAAGTTATCAAATACATGGCGATTTTTAAATAGCTAAAGTTTTGATAGAAAATTCAAGAAAATATATAAACAATATTGTGGTTTTAAAATTAATTGGTTTGCAAAGTTGAACGTTATATTTCAGTTATTTTTATATCTTTTCTACTCTTTTGTTGTGAGAAAAAATAAGATTGTGAAATAATTTGAATTTTGTGGCTTTGCACTATTTCTATGTATTCATATCATACACTTTTGTATTTCAAATTTTTATCGTCGATTAAAAAGTCTAGAAGAGACTAAACTGTGATAATTAGTACACGGTCCTTCTTTATTAAAAATAACATTATTCAATTGTTTAAAGTGGAACAATCACCATTACATATTTATTAAACAATTTTTTGAGCCTTTTTGACGCATTATTTTGCACTCAAAAACATTTGTCAAATAAAGAATAAAGCATCATTTAAAACCACAAGTTATTTTTTGGACAATACAATTAACTACTATAAAATATGTTTAAAATAAAAAAACTTATTTGTAATTCCAAATAAATTATTTTAAGAATGTATTAAATCAGAATAATCAATATTTTAAATAATGCTGATTTGTTAATGCAACCAAAAATAATTTGTTATTGATATGAATCTCTGTGTGCAATGAATAAATTTATAATTAATAACATTTTATGGATCGAAGTATAAGTAGGTTTTTAATGAATTTAAATTTGTAGAAGATTCTCTTGAGGTCTAACATATATGAATATAACACCTGCATAACATAATATTTGATACTTTATAAAATCCACAACAGGAAATGGTTTAATTAGTGGATAATAAAATATAATTTAATAACAATATTTATATAAAGATAATTTAGTATGTCAATAACATACTAGCGAATGATAGGAACGTCAAATCCCAGAATCTCATTAACCATTTGAAATCAAAAATAACTTAATAAAATCAGTTCCTATCAGGAAATTTACGCTATAATATATAGCAACTTAAAATATCTCTCTGTGTAATAATGCAACATGCACTAATGTATCGTATATTTTTATTATGTTATAATCATTAGTAAAATTTAATTTTTTAAAGTCATTTCAATTTTAAACTCGAAAAAACAAGATATTATGGTGCAGATAGCAATTAGCTAAACAAACCACAAAACTTTTACAAATATTTTATTTTGAATGTGCAGATAGTATTTAGAATATTAATGCTTTTGTTTAAATAAAAATACCTTTGATATAAATATAGTAAGACTATGTTATCTGCTGCTTTTTGGCTTGCATAAAAATAAAAATATAAGATAACCATTCAAAATATAATTAAAAAAGACTTTAGCCATTCCAATACAAAGATTAAAAATCCTGCCTCTTCCTTGTGAGTCACTCAAATCTTCAACAACAGCATTATTAATCTCTAAACATACTCTCCAAAAAAATTAAAATAAAGACGAATCAACACTAATTTATATAATAAAGCGCATTATTAAAGTTAATGCTATAAATTAAAAAAGGAACGGCACAGATATAAAAAGGAAATAGCAAAAATCATCTTGTTCTATCAGTATATCTAGATAAGACATTTTCTATCTGAAATCCTTATGTACTTTCTCAAAATATTTTTGTATAAAAATGTTGAAATATTATGCAAAATTTAAATTTTTAACAGTATCATCCATTAACAGAATGCGACTTTTTACTTTTTTGATTTGATAGTACTAGTTATAACTATTTATTGATGTTGTAAAATTAGTGCATTTAAAAAGTAAAGCTGAATACTTTTTCAGGATCAAGTCCCTTTTTCAATATAGATATAATTATGTTTTATTTAAACTATTGTATTCTTAAGATAAAATATAATAACATAAAAGAGATAATCACACAGTATTAAAATTTTCAATTATAAATATAGATAATTACTATTTGGTTAATAAACTCCGAACACTCATTACATTTGTTGTTGCTTAAGACTCAGTAAATAATACATGTTAAGTAAAACTATTTATTTGACTAATTCAACAGTACAATACAAATATATTCTTTTTGTTTAAACGTCCATGTTATAACCTCAAAACATAAAATTGCTGATAACGCACTATACAGATCAAAATATTTTTTGTTAAAAGATTATGATACGAGAAAAATGTTTTTAGTAATATTGCTTATTGTTATTACTATATTAAGTTTATTTTATGTAAACAATTTGGTAACCTGAGAGGATTATAATACCTTATGTTTGAGATCAAGACAAACAATTATATACTTTTCTTATATGACACATTCAGAATCAATAGCTTATTGGGGAAAGGAAAATATCCATATTAGTAAATAATAAGATTTTGCAGAGTGGAAAATAATTATTTATATATGTTAATCATATTGTGTTAGAAACATGCTTCCATTCAATTAAATACGGGTTTATTTGTTCGGAAAATTTTTTAACACGAAATGACTACAATTTTTTGAAGCATCTGTATGTTTTAAATACACTTGTAATCTTTAAATAATTAACCTAGTTACACTATACAAACACCAAATCATTTAATATCCTATTATAATATAGCAAGCTAAGATTTATATCAATTTTTATTAATATCATAAAACATATCACTTTGATGGTTGGTACATGCACATACAATTATTAATTTTATTGTAAGATATTTTTTGATGTTTGAACAACTATAGTTTGATTGTTAATTTTGATGTTTTCATACTTTATCTGTATCTTTTATATCTTGAATGTTATTTTTTATTATTGAAATAAAGAACTAAGATTATTGGACACATGTTACAATTTGATTTTTAATTAAATAAAACACTATAATTATTTTATTTATGACATAATTTATAACTAAATTTGTTTTAAATATTATCATCATGTTAGTTTATTATATAATAATTGACTTTAAATTTCGGTATTTTTCATTATTGTTTATATTAATTAGAATATTCATTACACTAACTGTATAGGTTGTTTTTAAAAGTATATAATTTAGCTAAGTATTGGAACATCAATACTTAGCTAAATTAGTATAATCTGTGGGCTTTCTTATGACTAAATTGATTTAGTTATAAAATTTGTCATCTATTGAGAACTGAGGAAATAGGAGGAATTACGAAGTAATAAATTCAATGGTAAGCATAAACTTGAAATTATTATAACACACAATTGTTTTGTATTTTTATTGTTATTAAATCATTTTATTTTTATTATTTAAAAAAAGAATATAAAAAATGATATGTACATTTTGTGTAGGCTATGCATGTACAAATCTGTTGGTTTTAAAATGTTCATTTTATATGTTTTTATTAAAGTTTCATGTGGTTTTTAGGACAACATCCAATTATTTTCTGCCTATTTAAAACAAAGTATTATCTATAAAAATTGTCGATTCAAATCTTAGACTCTAGTGTCAATTATTTTGAACTGCCAAATTTAATCAGTTGATCATTTATACTTGCAGAACCGCGATACAACTATATTTATTGAAGCATTTTAGATATTTCTTTTTGTCTTTAAAGATAAAAAACATGCTTATAACGTACTTACTGTAATTTCTATACTATGTACTACACAAATTAAAAATGTATCCGAATCTAACCTTTCAATTTATTTACGAAAAATTTATTGAAGTAAATCTTCTGGTTTGAAATCACGATATATTTAATAATACTGCAATCTAGATCGGCAATCGACTATTTTGATATACAATGTTCATTTTTTATTTTCAATTTCTAACATGTGATATCCATAAATGTTTTATTCTTTGTGTATTCTCAGCATGTTACAATTCCATTTTATTACGTAAATATATGAATATTTTGCTCTAATGATGAAAAATCAAATTCATGATTTCAACAAAACGTAAATTCAAACTAAATATTCACATATGTCTGAGTGTGTCCAGATTATATACAAAAATAACAAACAAATATAGTGGTGTGGTTAATTGCGCCAATACTTTTTTAAGGGCTAAAATACATAAAAACATTAAGGAAAAGCATAAAAATCTTCGTGTAAAGCCCTCGAAAAAAATTCTTGGAATATTGTGTATGAGTTACAGTGTAATTGTATCATATCGATCTAAACTACCATACCACTTGTCTTGTGCGATTTTTATTAAGCATTATAAGGTGAGGTTTAATTGCGCCAATGCTCAGAACAACACCGAATGCAACAGAATGATGTATTTTTCATTGTATTTAACTATTAAATCGAATAATACCATGTTTTCCCTCGCAAAAATGCCATATATAGTTTTTCATTAAAAACCCCTCTATGAAAAGATTGAGTAAGGAAAAGATTGAGCTCATTAATGTACCATGCAACAGCCATTTATCCAACAGAAAGCTTGCAGTGAAGTTAGGTTTAAGTGAACAATCAGTACGAAGATTCAGGATCAAAAAAAGTAAAAATCTCCCTGGACGTCCAAATGTGCTATCTAAAAAAGAAACCAATGTCATTTTACGAAAATTTGGGTCTGGTTTACTACAGGTTAGTAGTGATGGGGTAGCATATGTTGCTGAATCGTTCGATAAAAAAATCGAAAAATCAACTATTAGGAAATTATTGATCAAAAACGGCTTCAGATCCAACAAAAAAATTAAAGGACCAGCATTATCAAAAAAGAATCTGAAATTGCGTATGGTTTATCATGCAAGCCATTCTGATTTGACATATCAAGATTTCAAGAATTTCATTTATACAGATGAAAGCACATTTAGAATTTTTGGGGCCGTGGGCGGCCAGACGTACTACAAGCATGTTGATGCATCTGCACCACAACATCGAATCATTCGCACTCTTAAATTCGGAGGCGGCGGTTTAATGGTTTGGGGGTATATTTCAGGCACAGGTAAAATCAAGGTCTATCCTATTGAAGGCAACATGAACACAATGAAATATATTTCATTATTACGAGATCATGTTCTTGATGACCTGATTGCCTCTGGCATTGACTTGAAAAAAATGACCTTTGTGCAAGATAATGCAAGTTGTCATAAGTCAGTAAAAACCATTAAATGNGGCCAGACGTACTACAAGCATGTTGATGCATCTGCACCACAACATCGAATCATTCGCACTCTTAAATTCGGAGGCGGCGGTTTAATGGTTTGGGGGTATATTTCAGGCACAGGTAAAATCAAGGTCTATCCTATTGAAGGCAACATGAACACAATGAAATATATTTCATTATTACGAGATCATGTTCTTGATGACCTGATTGCCTCTGGCATTGACTTGAAAAAAATGACCTTTGTGCAAGATAATGCAAGTTGTCATAAGTCAGTAAAAACCATTAAATGGTTTAAAGACCAGAATATTAAGCTTGGGATGCATCCACCACAATCCCCTGATCTTAACCCCATTGAAAACGTGTGGGCATGACTCAAAAGAAGAGTTAACCTGAGGCAACACGAAATACAAAACAAGGCTGATCTGTGGAGAGTGTTGTCTGATGAAGTATCAAGAGTGAAACCTACAGAAATTCGACGCCATTTCATCTCAATGCCTGGTCGCTTAAAGCGTCTAGAAAAAGCTAATTTTGATATAATTTGATGAGGAAATAAATAATTGGTTAAATATGCTTTTATTGTGATCTTCCTAGTGTATATTGATATAATTATGCATATAATGTAGCTAT